CGCACCCACGCACCCACACACGCACGCACCCACGCAGGCACGCACGCACCCACGCAGGCACGCACCCATGCACCCACGCACACAGACACGCACGCACGGACACACAACCCAGGCTGTTTTGCACCGCAGGCCCACCGGAGAAGAAACGCCACTTTGCTCATCATTCCCACCCCTCCCCCGCTTTCATTTACCTGTCATCGTTTTATATTTTCCGTTTAATATCCTTCGGTCGAGCTTTTTATGATGATGATGATGACGAGCGCCAGTCTTTAACGCGTCGACTGATTTCCCGCGAGTTTCACCGAGTCGGGGAGAGCGCCCCCCCCCCTTTCTCAGACAAGGGATTTAATTGGCCTCTAAGCCCTCTGGTTCATTAGGGTGCCGTCAAGGCTGCCGGCGCTCGTGGGTTTATTTTATTAAACGCCGCAGCGCTTTGATTTGCCCACGGGAAGATTGGAGCGAGTTCAGTATTTGAGGGGCTATTAAAATGCATGCATGTCACGCGGGGTAGCGCAAAAGTCGGGACACACAGGGTTATTCTAATTATCTTAACACATCCAATAGGGTTGTTTTATTTATTTCAACGAATGTTCAAACTGACTACCATTAACATTAATGCACGCATTCATTTTGTTTTGAAATTAATGTAGGACTTTTTTTAGAGATTACAGATGTAACATCTTTGAACATTCATCAGTTATGTTTTGTTTCAACTCATCCAGGGGTTATTGGTCGAGTTTTGTGAATATCATCTGAAAAAGAAGAATACAAATAGACATTATTCGTAATTATAATATACACCATACCAACTTGAAAAAAAAAACAATTAGAATGTTTGAATCCAAAGTGTAAGCATAAATGAAGCTGATGCGTCCTGATTTTTGGGCCACCCTATGTATATGAAAATATATATTTCAATGAGCATAAAGAAGCTCAAATGACATTTCGCTGCCTGGAATTCATTAAAAATGCACGCATGCACTTTTCACACTTTTGAGCAGCTTGTGCGTGGAGTATTTGAACCGTCCATGTGTGTGAGCAGCGTTTGTTCTCCGCGGCTTCCCTGTTGGGCATTTATTTATTTTTAAGTCCAAATGAAAACGTAATCCCTTGTCCCGTGAGCACTGACGCTAATGTTTTTTAACAGAGGTGCTCTCCCCATTAATTTTCTCCATGCTTTAATGGATGCCCTTAATCCGCGGTAGATTATTTTGAAAAATATTGAAATATTTCTTGACAACCGTGGCGTAAGACATCGCCAGAATTATTAATTGACTCCAGCGTATGAGTTCATATCACGCACTTTCTTTTTTCAACCCTGTCTTCCTCTCCCAAACCCATCTCATCAACTTAATGCCTCCGTTCACCATGCGCCACTCCGCTCTTACTCTTTAATCTGCACACGACCGGAGTTTGATTTCAGCTGGGATCTGTCTGTATTCGCAAACCTCCGAGATATTTCTGCACCCGTCATACCACATCCACTGTAAACTCTGGCTCTGTGCAGCCGTGTTTGGTGAAATGTCGTTGTTGTTGATTGATGGCGTACTTATATTTTATTTTTGGACATTAAAATTTAGTGTTTCTTGGGAAAAGGAGTGTTTTTCCGCTGGCACTTTTTATGCCGAATCTTGAACTTTTTTTTCTTCCTTAATTGGCTACAGCGTTTAAAAGATAAATGTTATATTTAAAATGATATTATTTCTTACATTTATTTTATTTACTCATTTGTATCATTCATTTATTTTTCTCTGATGTTTTATATCTGTCACGGAAACGGCGTGTTGCTTTTATTGATGAAACCCGACCTTAAGAGCTTCTTGGCTCACAGGGCAATTCAAAATAATCTGAAACTGAGGCAGGTTCCTCCTACTCAAGTTTACCAGCGACATGGAAAATAATTTAGCAAGAAACTAAAGCTTCGGTCCCAACCTTCTTCGCACGCCTTCGTTGACTTGTTTGTCTGTCCACCAGAAATTATAAATATTCCCCAACACAGCCACACACACCCACATACAAAGATCTCTCATATAGCCTTAACCGACTGTAGGGGCAAGTGCTGTTAGCGAGCACCTATTAAGGCCGGAGCGGCACACGAGGGGGTTGGGTGGCCAGCACCACGCCCGACTGCCTTTGTCTCCCCAGTGGTGATGTTTACACACCGCACCAGGTACTCATTTGAGGCTGAGTCGACCTAGGGGAGGCCCAGGGCCAGTTTAGATAATCGTCACTGGTGTTATTGGCCGTGAGCGGGAATCGAACCCGGGCAGCCAGGTTCGTAGCACAGCGCGCTTACCGCTACACTACCGCTCCCCATACCACACACCCACACACACACCCACCCACACACTCACACACTCACACACCCACCCACACACCACCCCCCCAACTTCCCCCTCCAGCAAATCGATGTTCGCACAATTCAGGGATCATAATACGATAAAAAATATATCTATATTTTGGTCTCATTTTTACAATTTCAAGTTTTTCTCCAATTTTTTCCCCTCCTACCTTGCAGAACTTTATTCACCCACTTAGCGTTAATGTAACGCCAGGACATCGTTTTATGCACATTTAGCGTGAATTGTGGTTCATTTGGACCTACGTGCACGATCCAACGGACGCGTCATTAGCGTAAGAATCCATTTTAATCGATGTATGAAAGCATTGCTAAATACCCAATTACGACTGTCGGCATTCTCTCCCCGCACTGCGGCCCCTCCACTTTGCACTCTTCCTTCTGTTAGTTATGTTCACGAACCCTCTCACCTCCTGTGCTGCTCGTTTGGCTCTCTCTGGTCTCCGTGTCTCAGAATCCGTTTTTACCTCTCTCTCATCTCAATAAATACTCCTGCCTCATCGCCGACTCAAATTGCTCCTCCATCATCTCATCAGCCATCATCTATTCACTGCCGGATCAGGGCCTTCTCAAGCCATCTCCGCCTCTCATGGTCTCACGGTCTCGTATTACAAATAAATCCATCGAGCTCCTGCCCTTGATCTGGTTTCATGGCTCCGTCTCTGCTGTTGACGTCCTCAGTCTCAACCACCGACCGTCAACTCTGCTCGCAATGTGTTCGAAGCCCACTTGCTGAACAGCCACCGTGACCATCTTCTTGGCTCTTTCGGTAAAGTCACGTAGAAGGGAAGTAATAAAATAATAAAAATAAAACATAATAAAATAATTCTCACGACGTTTCGGCCACAACGCAAGCAGCCGTCCTCAGGTGAAGACCAGGTCTTCACCTGACGCTGTCTCCCCGACAGACCTGGTCTTCACCTGATGACGGCTGCTTGCGTTGTGGCCGAAACGTCGTGAGAATTATTTAATTACGTTTTATTTGTATTCTTTTATTACTTCCCTTCTACGTGGCTTTACCGAAAGAACCAAGAAGATAAATCCCTGCAGTCACGAAGGCTTTAAATCAAAAAAAGCCACCGTGACATCTCTAACTCCTGTACGCTCTCTGATCCATGTGTTCCACTTTCTGTCTCGATCATGCAAACTCCGGTCATCATCCTTGCGGCCACTTTTGGCTGGCCATCGAACAAAGACGATCACTTCATCGCGCACTTTCAGATGCGCTTCTGCGGCCGTCTGGAACGCTCTTCTGATATTAGGAAGCCACTGGAGCAATGGACTTTTAAATGTAGATTTAAAACTCATTTCATTTTGAACTTATTTTTGTGTTTAGTTTGTTGTCCTTCCCCTGCACCTCCAATTAGCATGGTTGGCTACGCACGGGGCAAAATAAATCCAATATACATACAACTCTTGTACGCTCTCTGATTCATGTGTTCCATTTTCTGTCTCTATCAGTGTAATTCCAAGCATGCCCATCGTCTTACTTCTTTGCACACTTTCCAACTTTGTTCCATTTTCTTTGTAAATGTTCTTCCGTCTCAGCCATGTGTCAAAGTAGTTGCTATACTACATTCTGCTTAAAAGCTTTGTCTTTTTTGCTCACTTTTTCCCAAAAACACCCCAGCCTGCTCTCCTCTGCTCATCTGTTTCGTCCTTTTCATCACTGCCCGCCTTCGTGTACTGCCCGAGGTTTGCGTTACTCTGATGTGGTTTATAGTTATGTCCCTCAGACAGATGTCTTCAAGTGTTTAGCGAACTTTTTTGCACCTAAAGTTTATTTGGCTCGTATTGATATTGAACGTACGCTTAGGAACGTTCATTTATGACGTTATTCTATTATTTCTTGCAGGTTCATTCTCATCGGTTGTTTGAAATTTACTTATTTTTCCATAAAATCCGAAATGGTTAATAACCTATCCACCACCATGCCTTCATTTCTTGAATTTATTTTGTTAAGAAACATCTTCTGATATCACTGCGGGTGTATGAACCACAAACATGCACCATCCGCTTCACAGTAGATGTTAAAGAGCCAGTCCCGTTATTCGAAAATAAGAATGCCATGCGTGACAGTGTCATGGTCCAGATTTGACAAATTTGATTAAGTTAATTGCAAATTAAAAAAACATGGCAACGTTCCTCCCTGGTGGCATACGAAGGCCCACTGAGCCGGCTGAGGACATGTCGTGCTCCACAGCGACAGCTGCCACGGCGGGGGAGGGGGGGGGTCCCCTTGGCTGGGCTGGAGCGCTTCACTGAGACGCTTGAGATGAGACGCGATGATGATGATGCAGTGTCGCTCGGAGTTGCTTACAGTCGACCCTGTTCCCCTCCTCCTCTCGTACCTCCCCCTCTCACCCCTCCCACGTGCCCCGCCTCTCACCCCCCACGTGGCCCCCCTCTCACCCCCCACGTGCCCCCCCTCTCACCCGCCACGTGCCTCTCCTCTCACCCCCCACGTGCCTCCCCCCTCACCCCCCACTTGGCCCCCCTCTCACACCCCACGTGCCCCCCCTCTCACCCCCCACGTGCCTCCCTCCTCACCCTCCACGTGGCCCCCCTCTCACCCCCCACGTGGCCTCCCTATCACACCCCACGTTCCCCCCTCTCACCCCCGCCCCCCCCCCCCCCCCAGCGTGCGAGCTGATGGAGCAGGGCATCCTGGCGCTCGTGAGCTCCACGGGCTGCGCCACGGCCTCCTCGCTGCAGTCGCTGAGCGACGCCATGCACATCCCGCACCTCTTCGTGGAACGGGGGGGCCCCGCGGCCTCCCCCTCGTCGGCAGGGGGGGCGGCCGGCACGGGGGGCTCTCCCCGCAGCGGCTGCGAGCTGCCCCCGCACCCCCCGCCGCTGCCGCCGCAGACGACGACCGACCCCGGGGCGCCGGGCGTGGAGGAGCCGCAGGGCTACACGCTGACAGCGCGGCCGCCCGCCGTGCTGGGCCACGTGCTGACGCGCGTGCTCGCCGACTTCGCCTGGCGCAAGTTCATCCTCTTCTACCAGGCTGGATACGGTACGCGGCCGTGGGGCCGCCGGGCGGGTTGGCGGGCGGGCAGGAAGATGGGCACGGGTGGCCTGACCAGCTTGGCAGGGTGGGCGCGGGGAACCCTGTCGGGTCCATCGCGGAGAAGTCAGAATCAGAATATTTGTTTATGCTGGAGGAAACCGATGAGCTGCAAAGCTCTTTTTCACAGGTCTCTTGACAGGGACCCTGTCAACAGGTCTCTCTCTCTCTCCCAATGTGTCCCCGTATTCTTTCTGAAAAGACATCGGCAATCGTGGCATTATTTCCTTTTTGCTTCGTCAACGATATTAATCGAGAATGTTCCGTTGGACGCTCCCAAATTTGTTCAAACTGCTTACGTGTTTTTAATTAGTCGTCTTCCCCGGCTTCTTGCACCTATCGTTGTTTCCCAGTCGAAACGTTACATTCAGTCTCTTGTCATTTGTGCATCACTTGTCCACGAAGAGGACTGTCAGGAGATCCGTTGGAGGGGTTCATTATGGGGACTTGGCGGGTCCATGAAGGAGATTGTTGCTGTCCATGAAAGGGTCTTTAAGGTCTGTCGGGAGGTCTATCAGTCTGATGGAGCTCATGATGGGTGTTTTATTCGAGGTCATTTTGCGGTCTGTCAGAAGATCTATTCGAGTTGTATACGTGAAATGTGAAGTAGCTGCAAAGCTGCCTATGAGGTGGTAATGTGCAAAAAAATACAAGATGCTTCAAACATTTTTTTACATTTATATGAGACTATCGTTTTTAATGGAAGAAGAACGGATAATACGCTGTAACATGGTAACAAATGGATGTTAATGGCTTCAAAAAGTTGAAGAGTCTCCACTTGTTCGCCATCATTGTCAACGCGTGCTTGGAATCTTCTCCAGGTCGTCTCCAGACCCCAGGGGCACATTTCTTGTGGTTTTGTTGCCAATTTTCAGAAGTGTTAAAACCATGTTTTTGAAGCACCCTCTACTATCAGGTATTCAAGCAAGCCAGCTGACAGAATTGGACCACTCTGTAGACGGGCCAACGAGCAATTGACGAAGGCAATGCACAACCACGCTAAGTTCATTTACATTTAAACACGCTCACAATTCAAAAGTTCCGAGAAGATACATATAGATATAGTATATGCAGATAATATATACAGAGAACGCCTAATGTTCAATGTAATTTTAACAAAAACATTACATTTTCACAGGCATCTCAGATTGTATGGCAACCAGTGAATTTCAGAATCTCGCGTTCACTTGCCGAGCACTGGCATGCGACGGAGGCTGATAACTCACTATGACTATATCAAATGAGAATTTTTGTCTAAAAACATAATTAATCATCGTAAATTGGTTTTTCCCCTTTTTTTCTGGCAACAAAACAAGTGTTAAGATGTTAAAACACCAAACTGAAACCTTTTACAAGGAATCATGTCTACATTAACCACAATGCTTGTGGTCAGAATGCAAACAAAAACATACTCTGATAATATATGCATTGTCTTTTAAACTGATTGGTCCACACCAGAGACAGCTTTCTTTTGAGCCTCGTCTCAATCGGTGTTAGACCAGAGGACGCTCCATTCCCTGGCCACCCCGTTCCGTTCCTTGTTATTATCCCTTGGCGATGCCGATTACACGCGTGTCTCTTGCGCCCACAGCGTTCGCACATCCAGGAGCTATCCGGGCTCAACCCCGCTTAGCCTCGGACAGCTAACCAGACCCGCGGCACATTCGAGGTCATTTTGTCACAGTGTCGTGGAGGCGACGAGTATTCAATACGACACGTTGTTTCTGGGGTGTTTGCAGTCGTGGCAACTAGCAGCGATACAATAAGTTTGTTCACACGGCCGCGCAGTTCGAGGACACTTTGAAGTAGCAAAAAAAAACAGGGGCGCGCACGGGCGGACACACACACACGCGCGCGCGCAAGGACGACTGCGCTCTTGCTGAAACACGCTACGCCTTGGCTCTTTCGGGGATTGGGTCTGGCGCTCTCTGGCTCGTTACGGTACAGGCCGTGTCGCTACATGGCGTTACGGCGCAGTTGTCGCCGCAACCTGATTGACAGCCTCTATTAACCTGCGGAGTAGATTCAGTTTGCCGGCCAGTGGTGTGTGCGCGTGTGTGTGTGTGTGTGCACGCGTGTGCACGCGTGTGTACGCGTGTGTGTGTGTGCTGTTGTTGTTGCTGTTGTTGTTGCTGTTGTGTGCGCGTGTCCACAGTTGCGTGAATTTGCGCCGGTGGCGGTCAGTGCTGCACTGCGCTGCGAACCCGGCGACCCGAGTTAGATTCCCGCTCATGGCCAACACCGGTGACGATTTTTTTAATCGGTCCTGGGCCCCCCCCCTAGGTCGACTCAGCCTCAAATGAGTACCTGGTATGCTGTGTGAACATTGCCATGAGGGAGACAAAGGCGGTCGGGCGTGATACTGTTAGCTTGCCCCAACAGTCTGTTAAGGCTGCATGGGGGACTTTTGCCTTGCTCACAGTTGCATGCGCCTGTGCGCGTGCGCTTTTGATTTGAAAAATCACGGCAATAGATTAGCTCACTCCGACAGCACGTGTTTATTTATATCTAGCACCGTAATGAGATTTACTTTCCTTACTCGGTGTGCTTGTTATTTACGCCAATATTGTCATATAATTATACTGTATAACAATTATGTTTTGTTCCTTGGTAGTTGGTGATATTTCCTAATTGCTTATGCCTCAAAAGGACAGAAAATGGCCATTATTCCCCACCAACTTTGCTTTTGTGACCAGGACAGTGATATTTTGAAATGTACCTATTTTCCAGAACATTCCAGATAGATTCAGTGCTGAGTAAATTTGGAGTAACTTCTAGAAGGTTCTAGAACTTTCCAGTAATATAAATACAGGCGCCTTAAGCCCACCAGCTCAGTTTAGTTCCAGCTGCCGAAGTGGATACATATCTGCATTTTTCTTGAGATGGTATCAGGAGGCTGCAAGCATCCGGCAGACACATTTTGCTATGTCTGCAGCCAATTTACCAAGACAAGAGTGAAAAAGTACTCTGTGGAAGCATCTGCTAAGATGTGTGAGGCCTACAAGGTATATTTCGGCATGCCTGTCGGGGATCAAGACAAACTCTGGGCACCTCATTTCACCTGCGAGCCATGCAAAAACACTCTGGAAGGTAAGATGGACAATTGGTGCTCGGAATTTTACGTCATAAAATTTGTAAAAAAAAATTGTAATAGTTTTTAACTTTAAAATGTTTTACAGTTTTAAATGTTATCGAAAAAATATATCATGTATTAAAAATGTTGCGAGAATCTCTAACACATTAGTCATGGGTGAAATAAATGTATTTTTGTAGGATGGTACAGAGGGGAAAAGATAACCATGAAGTTCGCTATCTCAAGAATTTGGCGGCAACCCACTGACCACTCAAGCAACTCCCACTTGTGCATGGTGGACCCTTCCAAACGTCGGACTGGCAAGAATGCACCTGCTTTCACGTATGCGGACCTTCCTTCATCCATCGCCCCGGTGTCACACTGCCCATGAGCTCCTTGTACCCACTACTCTGGAGAGAGAGCAGCCGTCTTTAGAAGAGAGCGGCAAGTCAGAGAGCGAGGAAGACGTTGTAGATCCAGGTTACAATTTCAGAGGTGGAGCTGAGGAGAGATACTCGTACTACCCCAACCAAAAAGATCTCAACGACTTGATCAGAGATCTTGGTCTCACCAAGTCCAATGCCAATCTTTCGACGTCTAGGCTCAAGCAGTGGAACTTGTGGGATGAAAGTGTGCAAGTCACAGATCAGAGGGAGCATCACCAATCTTTTTGCAGCTTCTTCACCCGTCAAGATGGGCTCTGCTTCTGCCACAATGTGACCAGTCTGTTCGAGGCAATCGGAATCGCCTGTAACCAGAATGAATGACGCCTCTTCATTGACAGCTCATCCAGGAGCCTCAAAGCCATACTGCTCCATAATTGTAAAAAGTGCTCATCTCTTCCCCTGGCTCACTCGGTGCACCTCAAAGAGGATTACAACAGCATCAATACCTTGATGGACGCCTTGAAGTATGATGAGTATGGCTGGGAGGTCATCCGAGACTTCAAAATGGTGGCATGCCTGATGGCTCTGCAAGGCGGTTTTACCAAATTTCCTTGCTATCTTTGCCTTTGGGACAGCAGGGACACCAAACGCGCACTACCACAGGTGGGACTGGCCATAGTGGACCGAGTTCTCTATTGGGAGGAACAACGTCAAGTGGCAGCCACTGGTGGACCCCGGAAGGTGCTGATGCCACCACTGCACATCAAATTGAGCCTTATGAAACAATTTGTCAGAGCTGTAGATAAGGAGTCGGCAGCCTTCAAGTACCTTCAAGACTTCTTCCCTGAGCTGTCTGAGGCAAAGGTCAAAGCCGGTGTCTTTGTCGGACCACAGATGAAGAAAATCCTGGAGTGCAATGAATTCCCCAAGAAGCTCACTATTAAGGAGAAAGTGGCTTGGAACAGCTTTGTCGCAGTGGTTCGTGGCTTCCTGGGCAATCACAAGGTCGAAAACTATGTGGAGCTGGTATGATACTCTGCTGAATAACTACGGCACAATGGATTGTAGAATGTCCCTCAAAGTCCATATCATTGATGGTCATCTTGATAAATTCAAGGAGAACATGGGAGCGTACTCGGAAGAGCAAGGCGACCACTTCCACCAGGATATACTGGACTTTGAACGCCGCTACCAAGGACAGTATAACGAGAACATGATGGGAGACTACATTTGGGGGCTGATTCGTGAAAGGGATTTACAGTATAATCGTAAATCTCGAAAAACTACTCACTTCTAAATCTTTTGTAGTAATTGTTGTATTACTTTAGTATAAAGAAATGTTAACTTTGATTCACATGTTTTTTAAATGACTTTATGTGAACGAACAGACACAAATAAGTATGTTTTCTCATTAAAATAGGTACATTTCTAAATATCACTGTCCTGGTCACAAAAGCAAAGTTTGTGAAGAATAATAGCCATTTTCTATACTTTTTCAGCATAAGCAATTACGAAATAACACTTCCTACCCAGGAACAAAAATTGTGTTACATAATATTACGTAATATTTAACGCTGTTCGTGTTGTTCTGGTGGCGGTGGTGAGGTTGTTGTTGTTGCACAAATAAGTGCAGTCGTTTTTTAACAGCGACAATTTGCTTTATAATGGAAAAGTCCCCGAATGAGTGGAACAAATGTCACCTTCCTGCTCCCCTTTCTCCACTCATTCCTAGCCTGGGCTTTCATCTCAACATCCACTCCAGGAAATTCCACATTCTCACTCACCACTTTGAACCTCCTCTTCCTAAGCTGCCTCCCCAGTCAGAATGAGAATCAGCATGGTTGGCTATGCTCAGTGCGAAAGAAGTTCAATCTAGAGTGCATACATTTATCCTGGAGAAATCCGATTAGCCATGAAGTTATTTTTCACACACATGCCACCCTAGTGCCACCACATGTTTCACCCCTCTCCTCTTTCCTGCGCCTGGGTTTTTCCCTCTCTTGTCCTCGCCAACCGAGTCGACATCTGCAACACCCCCTCCGTGTCTTCTCTTCTCGCCTCTCCGCCTCCGACCCAGTCCATCATCCCTCCTCCTGTGTTGGGAAAAAAACAAGTACCACTTTGTGGAAAGGCAATAGCGGTTGTCCGGTGAACAAAATTGTAACCCCCCCCCCCCCCCCGTCCATCGTAGGAACGCGTGTGATTATTTTCGCCACGGGCTCGAGACTGCCCGTGCGAAATTGAGCACCGCCCATTCTTCATTTGGGTGCCACGTGGTTAAGCCAAGGTGAAGGTGACGGGAAGAAGGTTGAGCACTCCCTTCTCTCCGTTTGCCTTTGCCACTTACGGCTGCGGGTTTGCTGTGAGAATACATTTTACCGAGTCTTAACGGGTCACGGGGTATTACATTTTTTTTATTCCGCAGGGCCCGCCGAGAAAGCTATTGTTCGGCTTCCCCCTTGCCTGCCGTGGGACACGTTTTGTTTTCTGAAAGATTAAACAATAATAGGAAGAGCAATACCCTTCCCCCTGGCTGCTTAGTCGCCCTTGGGGGAAATTATCCTTAGCATTATTGAATCACAAATAAGGAAAGGAAACAATTTCGTTTTGCTCCGCTGGATGAAAGGCAAAGGTACAGCCCTGCAACAGCTCGCTCAAGGCGCTGCTGGCGAGAGGGCCTCGAGAGAACCTCTCCAGAGGATATTTTGGCGGACTCTCCCATGCTCGCCACACTGTATGTATGTACGTAGAACTTATTTCGCACCGTCCGTAGCCAACCGTTCTTATCCGCGGTGCGAACTTCACAATCGTGGAAACGGGTAGAAGTATCCACGCTTTACCCCACCACGTGCCAGCTGCCGCGTTTCCATTTACATTGCTGGGTGGACAGAGTCGGAGGTGATTTAATAAAGCTGCCCCATCGCTTCAACTGCCATGTCAGGTGATCGAACCGGCGAACCTCTGGAGTGCAAGTTACGAGTGAGGTGCAGGAGAGGTCTAGAGAGTATGCACTTCACTCATAAGCAAGTCCCGTGGGATAACCATCACAACGCATGCACCTTATGTGTACGTCAACATTCAAGGTCCCAGTGCCAATTCCATCACCAAGAAGGCGAGGCAGATGTACGAACATGGCAACAAAATCAATTGTCACACGAATATCATCCCACTTTTATTTATTTATTCCGTCTGAACAGAAAGTGAGATGACATTGCGAGCCCCCCCCCCCGCGCCTCTGTGTGTGCATTTGATAATCGGCATTTTATTGCTAATCAACGGAACGTGAAAGAATCCCGGCGAATAAAGAATAACCATTATCCCAATGCACAGCTGCTCATGGGCCATATTTTACAGCAGGCATTTTACCCAGTCAATGGGCCTAACAAAGGACGGTGCAGTAAATAATGATGAGAAACTATTATTGGAATGGAAATGTCAATTCTTTTAATGTGCTCTATGCACTCGTGTGTGTGTGTGTGTGTGCGCGCGCACGTGCGTGCGTGGCTCTTTGCTGAGCTTGGGAATTAGTGTGGGAGCGTGAGAGAGAGGGTAAGTGAGTTAATAAAATGAGTGCGTGTGTTTTGAGTGAATTGGGCGTGCGTGCACGCACGAGTGAGTGCTCGCGAAAACGCATTGCGCGAGTGAGCAAGTGAGCGGCCGAGTGAGTTGATTTTAGTGTCGCACTTTCCTCTTACGGAGCAGTGGCACAGTGGTCAAAGCCACTACGCTGTGAACCCAGGGTGACACGAGTTCGCTTCCTGACCAGGGCTAACAATCAGTGGCAAAGGTGATGTCCGAACAACGTCCCCATCCCGGGCCATTGCCACCTTCACAAACCTACACACCTGGCTGGCGTGCCCGAGGTGTGGTCAGTCAACCACGTGACCTGACAAAGGCCTTGGGGAAACCTTTGGCGGAGCGCCTCCTTCCAGCAGTGCATTGACAATGGGCTCGAACAAAATTAAATTCTACTACTTCTCCCCATTTCAAGCTGCTCACTATCTTTGTAGTTAACAGCTCCCCCGGGAGTAGTCACTGAAAAATGATGCCTCAACGCAAGCCTGGTGGCTGGCCTTCTTTAAAACGGGTGGCGCACGCAGCCGTCTCAACGAAGTTTTAACTTGGGATCCGAGCCTTACGATGCCAGCGCTTGCCTGGCGTTGCGCGCTCGTGATGTCCACCTGTGGTATGCTACGTACGCTAAGCGTGGTGAACCAGGCGCAAATTGCATGTCCCCCTACGGATTGACCGCATCACGCGTGCGAGGTGCTTGCTAGGAGCGCTTGCCCCAACAGCGCTGTGGGCAGATCTTTGTCCACGATGCACTTCTCGCTTACCGCGCTGCACTACGAACCCGTTCAATGCCCGTTCGTGGCCAACACCGGTGACGAATATCTGAACCGGTCTTGGGCCTCACCTAGGCCTTCTCAGCCTCAAATGAGTACCTGGTGCAGTGTGTAAACATGGTCACGATGGCCACCCGCCCCTCGTGCGCCGTGTCGACCTTCATAGGCGCTCGCTAACAACACTTGCTGCAATAGTCTCTTCAAGGCTAGATTTGAAGCTTTCGTGACTGCAATGATTCATAAAAACCTAAGAATATAGTCTCTTCAAGGCTATTCCAGGAATATTTGGCTTTGAAGTACTCAACGGGGTGCAGTAATGGCCATTAGTATTCATTTTCACATTCACGTGTCATATATTTAATCCTGAATTTGAGGCCATCTAGCCGAGGGCCGCCCGCTGTTGCACTTTAACACTACGCGAGGGGCTGGCTCGGGGAATGAGATTCAAGTGCTCCGAACTGACCTCGACGCGAAAAAAAAAATCTGAAATTGAAATCCCGTGCGAGCATCCGCCCGTATTGTGTGTGCGGGCGAGCGAGCGTGCGTGCGTGCGTGCATATGTCTTGTCCTTATGCTACCTGTTGCTTCGTATGGCTGTCCAATACTGTTTGCTATGAAAAAAAAATAACATCAAAGAGATTGCCATGACTGACCCTAACCTGCAAGGTGTCTCCTGAGCAATGGTTTTGCTCTTCGCGTAATTCAGGATGCCCCTGTTTGAATACCCACGGTTTGTGTGGCTGCGAATACAAACATCCCCCATGTAGCCTTGCACAAGATGTTGGGGCGAGTGCTGTTAGCGAACACCTATGAAGGTCAACACGGCGCACGATGGATGGGATGGGTGGCTAACACCACGCCCGACCGCCTTTATCACCCCCGCGCTGTTATACCCACCGCACCAGGTACTCATTTGAGGCTTAGGTGATCTAGGGGCAGCCCAGGAAGGGTTCAGATAATCATCACTCATGTTGGCCGTGGGCGGGAATTGTAGTGAGGTCGCCAAGTTTGTAGCGCAGTGCGTTCATCACTGCGCCACCGTTCTCCATGTGTGGCTGTACACATGTACGCAGCCCTTCGTGCAGTGTGTGGATTAGTGAGTGTTGCGGGTGAGTTTTTTGTTTGTTTAAAACTACGTGTCACTCTTCTGTACCCTTACAGCTTCATCTATGCTCTGCGTGTACCTGTGCCCGTGCATCTCCGCCCCGTGCGTCACGACCCCGCGCCTACCTACGTGCGTACGTAGTACTCACACACGTACCCGCGTGCGCGTGCGCGTGCCCGTGCGCGTGCAGACATCCGCGGCGTACGCGGGTTCCTGGCGCGCGCCGCCCGCCAGGGAGCCGAGGTGTCGCTGCAGCAGGTGGACGGGAACGTGGGCCGCATGATCGCCTCGCTCTTCCGCTCGCTCAAGTACGAGGAGCTGAACCGCTACCGCGACTCGCTCCGCAGGGCCGTGCTGCTGCTCAACCCGCGCCTGGCACGCACCTTCATCGCCGAGGTATGCGGCGTTCGCTCGCCCAGCCCGCTCGCTCGCCTGCATTGTCATCGTTTCGTTGTGTGTATCGTGCTCCTGGGGTATGGATACTAACGGTGCTGCTCCGTGTTGTCGCGTATGCACGAGCAATTCTAAAGATGTATGTTTATTGGTTGCATGGAATTTGGGGGACCCCGTGTACTTAGGCGCCTCAATCTGAGGGTTTCCTGGATGTGAAATGTGCTTTTTAATAAATTTCTAGATATTTGTATAAGTTTTTCTGGCTGGCTGGGTGCCTGGCGCGCACCTTCATCGCCGACGTACGTGGCGCTCGCCCACCGCGCTCGCCCAACGCACTCGCCCCCGATTAGCACGGTTGGCTACGTACGGTGCGAAATAAGTTCTACGTGAATGCATACACACAAATATACACTGCCGCCACGACTTAAAAAAATGTGTTCGGGATAAAAAAATGCGCGTCTGTCTTTGGAAGTATTCAATGAGCAATATGGAAGCTTGACGGGTAACCGTCTACTGTGGATCCCTTCCTCCAGCAGCGGCATATGAGCAAGCAATTGCAGGGCTGCACCTCTGGCTTCTTAGCTTGACGGCCACGCGCCTTGCGTACACGCATCATCAATGTCGGGAGTGGGGGGGTGGCAACGGGGGGAATTGTAAGAATCGGGTGATTTATCCGAAACTGTGATTGGGGGTTATTAACAGGCTAGCAGGTTATATAAGGAGCGTTTAAAACTTTCTAGAGAGATGTTAAAATATTCATGGAGGTGCATTGAATAATTTACCTTCCAATGTAACCGCATTCATCATCACTAAAATCAGGACACTTTTTATATTCTTTGTACCTAATTATGGAGCCTTAAAAATGTATTTAAAACCTATTTTGTTTCACATAATGTACCAACTCAGAACCAATATTGTCTCGTTCTCAACATTTTGAGATTGGCCATCTGCCAGGAGTCAGAAGGCCTCTTACATTCAGATGAATTCAACCAATTGCTGTTTGTACAGCTGACAAATATGAGTGGCACGGCACGGTGGTGCACACAGTTTGGCCAATAAACCTGCCGATCTCAGTTTCGATCCCTGACCGTGACTGTCATCAGTGGCGAGTGATAGCTAAACCAGATCTAAGCAAGACATTTTTCAGAAAACCGAGAGAGTTGCGAGCATGGTAAAGTATTTAACTAAACTCATTTTATTTTACCAGGTAAGGCCCACTGAGCCTCTAGAGCCCATTTTCAGAAGCAACCTGGCCACAAATGATAGCTCAATGAAGTGGCTTATCATGTGGAAAATTGTAGCAGGCATATATTCGAGACGCATGTTTTTAAATGCAGAGGGGAAAACCGGAGGACGCAAAGAAAAATCCACGCGAACACGGGAAGAACATGCAAACTCCAAATATACAGCAGGCGGTAGGGTCAAGATCGAATCCACGACCTCCTGTATACCTGGCGAGGTAGTTAACATTTCACCACCGCTATGACTAACACGGCACGCTGTGCTTCCACACGTAAATCGAACGGCTGAGAATGTTTATTATTTCACGTGCTAATGTGTGATACGTGTACATGTGTATGTACAGCCCTTTTGCCAATCAACTGCTGGATGAGGGCCTCCCCATACCGTGCAGGCCATGAGGCTTATTTGACCAGACTGCACCTCGCCAATGCCAAATGCATGCAGATGTAGAAATAGATGCTACTCCTCCTGCAGTGCCACGTAATATACTTTTTTTGTAAGGCTATCCATATGTATGGTAGCTTGCTCTGACGCAGAGTATTAAATCTGATCGCACGCATTATCGCACAGCGCTAACTGCACACGGTGGGCCATTAAGCCACGTTAATTATTTCCGGGCCTTGAATTTATCGCCGATGCAGATGGCAGGCACAAACTTTTGAAAGCCATTCCTCAATAATACTGTGGCTCGTCAACGTAATAAATTTGACACTTCGGGAAAAGCACGGGTAAATAATAGTAAATAAACAACGAGGATGGCTTCTTTGCTTCTCACACGTCTCACATTTAGCCGTGACTCTCTCGCAGAGTTGCCACTTAAATGGATCCACGGTCGGTTTTAAGTGCCGGATGTGCGGTCCATTTTCACCACCGCGGTATTAAAACAGCGCAAGGTGTTCAGTCGGTAATGCACCGGGCCGGGTAATAGCGCGCATATTCCAGCCCAAGAGTAGCCACTTATTTGAATAATGGCGTTTGCATGCAGCAAGCATTCAAGCGCCCTAATGCGCACCGTGAATTATGGCAGCTAGCTAAGCTGAGGGGCTGCACGAGAGGGCATGACCCCCCCTCTCCACACCCCCCCCCCACCCCCCCCACACTAGAATGCTCGGGGAATTAACGCATGCACGGCAGTGTGCCCGCCCGCCCGCCTGCCCACCCGCCCCACCAATCGCTACGCCGTGAAATCCCATCACGACCGGCGGCGCTTAGGAGCGGCCCCCACGGGCCGTTAAGCCGGCAGCGAGCGCGCGCCGAAGCGCTCGGAGATCCGCAGCGGTGCTTCCTCCGTGCGTCGCTGCGCGGAATACGCGCTGGGGCGGCGGGGGAGGGGGCCGGGCGCGATTTCACGACACTAACTCGGGAGATCGGTGACTGTTGTGACGTTCCCGGCACGTTCGCGTCCGCCGCTTGCGCGGTTCGCCAAATCGAATCTTGCGCCCTGCGTGCATCCCACACGGAACGTGTGCGCATGCGCACGCACCTCCACCGCCGCAATGACACGCGTCAAATTGCTCTCATCATCTCTCCGGTCTTTCTCCATCACATCGATGTGTCAAATACAAGAAGGGAGGGAGGGGAAGGTGCCGGTGCTGCAGCCATTACTATCCGTCAGTGATGTGCCCTAACCCCGTGGGCGACTTGCCGCTTCAAGGTTATTGTCCAGAAAGCGTTTTGATTCATTTGGTTTTGCCCTTCACTTCTCAAATTCACTCTCCCTCTCGTTGTCTTTCATTTCGCAACGGGCAGGGTGGGGCAATTCACGCCGCATATATCCGTGAGAGATAATTGAACAGTATAATTGCAGTAGACTATAGTGTTTTTCGTGTTTTACTTGCCTGGGTATAACTCTACCAGATTTTACCACGACAATTTTTTTTATATTTTCCAGAATATAGTGAGCCAGTTGTTAAAACTACAAATCGTAACAGATACTTAGAATTCATAATTAAATCTTCGTACAAATGGAAATGCATTGTGCTGTGATGCAAACTGGTGGCGAGATGCTAACTCCCTCGCCTGGTATACAGGACGTCAATGAATTTCTCCTCCCAGTCGTCGTGTCTTAGAGAGGTGAGTGCGTGCCACACTTGTGAAAAATGAAGAAAATAACCCATTCAATGGATTATTAACTGCATAGACCACCTCCATCCCCCTCCTCTTCTCCCATCCATCCTTTTCCGTGCCGCGTAAATAAGTTTACCCACCGGCCGTCACACGCTTTCTGAACAGGCATGGCGGCGGATGACCGCTCAGGGTTCTGATGCGTGTGCCTGGCTTCGGCGGAGTGTTGAGCGATGAGCAGCAGCACGGCTCTCCAGAGCGGGTTCAGCTCCTCGTACGTGAGCGTAGCAGACGAGCGAGGCGATGATGCGGCCCACGTTCTCCCGTCCTCCAGCTGCAGCGACGCCTCGGCTCGCTGGCGAGCGGAGCGTGCCAGGAACCGTGCCCGTGCATGCGTGCGCATGTACGGATGTAGAACTTGTTTCGCAGCGTACGTAGCCAACCGTGCTAATCAGAGGTGCCGGGGAAGGACAACAAATTAAACACACACAAAAAACAGTACTTAATAAGTATAACCCGTAAAAAAAGTTTTTCACTATAAATCCTTTATATGCGTGGCGGCTAGAGTCCTCTCGTCCTCTGGCTTGAGATGGCTGCCACCTATGGGTCAGATGATTGTCTGCCAGTATTAAGCAATTGGTAATTAAATATTTCATTTGTTTTCCCTAAACAGTGTAAAATTTTGGGAAAATTTTTTTCACGAACATTAATTGTCTCCCACAATGAGTCTGTGTGCAAAATGTCAGCTCGATTGGATCACGGGAAGTGGGTTAAAAAACGACCGAAAGATTTGCACGGTCGTAAGCAAGCAAGCAAGCACGCAAGCATGCAAGCAAGCAAGCGAACTTAATATAAAGGATTTAAAAATGAGGTTTCAATATAGATGATTTGAAAGTGCATAGTACCCAGTGGTTTCCTGATATCGGAAGGAAAAGCGTTCTAGACGGCCGCAGAAGCGCATCTGAACGCACCGCGCGATGATGTGGCCATCTTTGTTCGATGGCCAGAAAAAAACCGCTGCTGCTGCGAGAGAGGCCGGGAGTTCGCGCGATGGTTTACGCTCCTCGGCGAGATGGGCGAGCGTGTGAGATGACACCGATGGTCACCAATTGGCTCGTCGGCTAAACACGCGGTGGCCTCCATCTGTCAGAGCGTGGGTTGGGAAGAGGCCAGCGTTGGCGCTCGTGCATGAAATGTGCCTCTCTGCAATGCCCCACCAACCCTAGCAAAGAGTCGCACGTTGTCAAACAGAGTTTGTGAAAGTGGCGGCTCGTGACATTTCCACGAGGTGGGGCTTTTGTGAGTGACTTTTGAAACTATGGTGTTCTAATTAAGAAAAACCTCGTCATGTTATTGGCCTTCCCGTGAAAGTGATATAACTGTCTACCAACGGGTAGGCATTAATAAGCAATACGAAACAAAACAACAAAGCACTCCAATTATGTTCCCATGACCCTCAAGTCCACACTAGACAACCACTTTGACACTGCCAAAAGCCGTGACCGGCTGCATTTGCACAGTGCAACCTCGCGTCGTGACATCGTCTCTCATTACAGCCACGGGCGCCGTTTTCACCGCTCTGAATGAATGGGTCTCAAATGGCGTGGCTACAATGCGAAACCGCTATCAATGAGTGAAAGGAAATGTCTCACTCGGATGCCTTCACAGCCGCCCCGAGACCTCCCCGAGGCACAAGT